ATTATAATTATTAATTATTATAATTCTTAATTTTTTAAATATCAAATAAAAAATATTTATATATATAATTTTTTATTTTTATAAAATATTTTTTCTCAAAATCGAGCTCGAGCTTATGAATTTTTTACTCAAGCTCAAGGTTCTGGCTCGAACCGATCTCGAACCTTGTAGAATAGTCTCGAGTTGAGCTCGAGTCTCGTACTATTCGACTCGAATCCACCACTATTTGGGGTAGTGTCAAGTTAGTATCCAAACTTTCAAACGTGTCACTACAATACCTAAACTTTCAAAAAGTGTCAAGTTGGTCCCTACCATTAACCAAGCATTAGTTATCTGATCATGTGATGACATGTGTAATTTAATTTTTTTTAAAATGTCAAAACTACCCTTGCATTATTCATGTTCATCGGAAATAAACTAGCCTTCCTTCTTCGAAAGAATCATGTTATTCCACAGAATCTCTGGTATCTGGATTTGTCTTCCAATGAAGCGAAATCCCGAATAACTTCTCTGCAACATCCAGGCTTCAACTCATCAACCTCTCGTTTAACCGGTTCACCGGAGAGATTGGGATTTCAACAACTTCAGTACTACTTGTGGCTAGACTGGAATATGCTGGGAGGAACTCTGCCTTCCGCACTTGCAAACTGTTCTTTGCTCATGTATTTGAGCATTCAAGGCAATGCACTTCGAGGTATAATTAATTAATACCTTCGGCTATAGGAGCTCTTCCTAGACTTCAGGTTCTCTCGCTTCAACAAAATAACCTCTCGGGTTCGTTGCAATGTTTCAGCTAATCCTCTATCTATGCGAATCATTATGCTTGGATTTAATGCCTTCACGAGCCTTGTTCCACCATCAAAGGCGACATTAGTGCTTTGCAGTTGTTAGATCTTCAGAACAACCAGATACGTGGGGGTTTCCCGCTCTGGTTGACGAATATGTCGACCCTGACAATGCTGGATATATATTTCCGGTAACTCATTTACCGGCCGGCACATTACCAGCGGAGATCGGTAACCTCTTCATGCTAAAGGAGCTGAGACTCGCAAACAATTCATTTAATGGTTCTGTTTCCGGTTCCAGTGGAGATCGGAAAGTGCAGTTTATTTCCGGTTCCAGTGGAGATCGCAAACAATTAATTTAATGGCGTTGATCCTTTGTAAGTTTGTATAAATAACCACCTATTAAAAAGGTATAAATAATAACTCATTCTTCAATCATTTGATTTCAATTGTTAGCATTTAGTTGTAAAGAATGCGTAAATCACTAGCTATCATTTATCTAATCATGAATATGAACTACAGGCCGATTTTGGATAATACCCATTGTATGGCTACTGACAAGGTCTTGACTATGTAGTTTGGTTTACAGGTAAAAAAAATGCAGTCTACCACTTGGCAAGGTGGAATGAATTGTCCGTAATTTGTGTTAACCCAGTTATTAGGTCCAATGTGTCTGCACCGTATGTGTCCGCATTCAACCGGCAACCTATTTATTGAACATTCATGAATCAAGAAGACAATAATAGCGTTACATGCTATCGGCTTCGAACCTGCCCACGAGAATTCTGCCCATGTTTATTGGAGTCATACATGGAGAATATCTCATCCTCTGCATAGTATTATGTAGGGAGAGATATTCCTAATTCACGGGGGTAGTGTATTATGGGTAGGCGTGGGCTGAGTTCTGGTGCACTGATGATCCTGACTCATCAGCTTCAGTACTGTTGTAGCCACAATAATCTTAGTTCATCCCTTTGTATCTTTTTTCTTTTTCTTCTTCCCACCATTGAGTGTTTTGGAATTAGCAAAGTTTGATCATCTTGGATACGGAGGCAATGGCATGACAGACATTGGCACAAGGCTTACAACTTAACAAGCATCCCATCTTCAATGCTTAAGCTGCGTTTGGAAACCATGCAAATAAGTGTGAATACAAATATGTAGAGTGTAAAACGATTTATATAAATTGTAAAGTTGGGTTAGTTTTGCATTGATAAATTTAACTTCTTACCAAAATTTTGGCTGTAATGGATGCAAATACAAATTCCAATAAAGTATGTCTTCTTTATCATAAGCTCACTTGAATGGAAATTTACTTCTTTTTTATTGATGTATTTTTACATTTTATTATCAATGTAAATATGCATTGGTATGTCATTTGTCAATGCAAAAATGTAGTGTTGCCAAATACAGGCAAAAGTGAACTAGAGTGTAAATTTACCCTAAATCGGGATTTACACTCTATTTGCATTGTTTCCAAACGTAGCCTTAGAGTTGTGCATGATGGGCGTCGCCATGCATATCCCATGATTCCTAAAGCTAGCCAGAATCTCTCCAGTGAACCGATTGAACAAGAGGTTGACGAGTTGAAGCTTGGATGTTGTAGAGAAGTTATTCGGGGTTTTGCTAGAGAGTTCATTGGAAGACAAATCCACATACCAAAGGTTCTACGGGATAACACAGAGATTCCTTCGGAGAGAAGAACGAAGGCTAGTTTATTTCTAATGAACAGTCTCAAGGTAGAAGACAATGAATAATGTCTTTTTTTGAAGGATAGTTTTGATATTTTTAAAAATATTAAATTGCACATGTCATCACGTGATCAAATAACTGACAGCCGATTAATGGCAAGCAACGTTTTCGAACCGCCGTTGACCTGGATGGTTGGACCATTTGGCCCGGGAACCATCTAGGCAACCAGTTCCGTTTTACCCAAAACCCAGAATCTGATAAAAAACCATTAAAAAAGTCAACAAACCGTTGACCCAGGTGGTCGAACCGTCGACCCGTTCAACGATTTTTAACCATTTTTTTAAATTATTTTATCAAAACAGGCCATCCATTCAAACCAAACGGTCAGACCATTAACATAAAAACCCGTGGTCAGAACGGTTCCGTTTCCGACTCGTTTTTTAAAATGTTGATGACAATCAACTTAACACTTGAACTTTTACTTTTACTAATATAATTTCCAAACAAGTATTGTTTTTCGCTGCCCCAACATTTCGATTTTCGACTCGCAAATGGCTTCTTTCTTCTGTTCGAGGGTCTTAGCGAGAAGGAGGTTGGTAGAGTCGAAGACATCCTGGTGCTTCCATAGATCTCGATACTTAGCAGCACCTGTCCATGCTACGAAGATCATTGAGAGTAATGCTATTGGGTGTCCTACAGCTTCTTCTAGGTTTTCTTTTTGTTCTCGCCCTTTGAATCTTGATGACGCTCAAGGACCAGCTGTTGTAGATTATCGGTGCGATTTTTTTCTTCCTTTTCATTTTTCTGTGTTTATTTTCTCATTAATATTCTCACGATTTTGTCGAATATAGGATCTGAGATATGTCTAGGGTTTATCTACGGGAATGTTTAGAGATTTTGGTTCCGTATTGGTTATTGGATAATTTTTGGTTGATTATATTTATTATTACCATTTGTTTTGGTATATTGCAACTAATGAGTGTTAGTGGTCAATTGTCGCTAACAACTGACGTCGGACACAGTTCTCTCCTTCAGGAAGATGAATTTCACAGGTTGGCCGATGCCACAATTCATGACCTGCAAGAGAAATTCGAGGTGCCTATCACTGTGGAGTTGTATAAATCGAGGATTCATTTTTATTAGATAATTGTGGTTTCCCTTTTTTTCCCAACACTCAATTTACCGGTTGTCTTGTATCTGTGAAATATTATTGTACATTGGCCTCGCGATGCAATAGATAATAGTGAGTTCATTTTTGGTGCATGTCGAAGCTCTTTCTTGGCAGTAGCCAAATTTCTGATTGCCCTAATTTTAATTTTTTTTTTTGTTAGGAATATGGTGATTGTATTCAAATTGATGGTTTTGACATAGATTATGGGGTGAGGATAATTGATTAGTTTAAAGATTTCTCTTTCATTGTTTTAGAGAGATGTTTTAGTTGTTTCAATATAACAGTTTATAGGAATTTGGCAGAACCAAGTATTAACATTGAAGCTTGGGAGCTTGGGTACCTATGTCTTGAACAAGCAGACGCCCAATAGACAGATCTGGTTGTCTTCTCCAGTGAGGTAGGGATTTCTTACAGAATTCTTTTTTGTTACATTTATAGAAGTATATTTGTGCTGAGGAACCAATGGGTGCCAAATTTATTTTTCATCCATTTATGGATTTTGCTTAGATTTATGGGTCTTTTCTTGTTTTAATCTGGGAAGATTATTTCACTGGTATGGTGTTTCCTCTGTTCTCATGATTAAAATTGAGGAGCAGTTGCAATGATCATGTTGCTCTTCTAAAGCATTGTAATGCCCTGAATTAGCTTCAACCTTTTTTATCTAGTGGTACAAAGTCATGGATCAAGCGAATGACTGCTTCATTGTTCTCATGTTGATATTAGCTCCTAGCTCTTTTGACTTATTTATTTGTGGTGTGATTATAATTTTAGTTGTTAAGCATGTATTGTTTGTTGCAACTCCAAGGCCAGAGCCTATCTTAGAGAAGATTTCTATGCTTCAGGGTTAAGACTAGGATAAAAAGGAAGTTGCCCCAAAGTCAATGTTTAGATGACTGTCCTTGATCACTAAAATAAAAAAGGGAACAGCTATAATGCCAGAAAGACATGGTACTGGAAGAGTTTTGACCAATCAAAATAAAAATGATGCTTGTTGATTGGTCACAAATTTTTTGGATATCGTGCCTTTCCGGTATCATAGTTGAACCCAAATAAAAATGATGCTTTTGAATATTATTATCATTTATATCAGATACCATAATTTTCTTATATTCATCAAGGTGAGATGATCCATTTTCTGTATTTTTTCTGTTTTCCTTGCAGTGGCCCATCTAGGTTTGACTGGGATAGGAATAGCCAAGCTTGGGTTTATAGGCGAACTAAAGTAAGTTTGTATCAGCTTCTACAAAGTGAATTGGAACAACTGTGTGGTAAACCCATCAGTCTTTCTTAGATTCTTCCATGTTCTACATTACTAGCCACTACAGTAGCAAGAGCTCTAGAGGGTTTTTCTTGGAAATATGTTGGTAATGTATTTGAGATTAGCAGGTTTGAGATTTTTATCTCTTTTAATGAATGAGTAGACTATCACTCAATTTCTGATATTCCTCAAGAATGGTCGTGCTTAAGTGACTTAAATGAGATGGTGCTTCATTCTAGCAAATGCATCCACTGAAACTGAAGATAACCTTGCATGGATTGTTGTTAACAAGAAAATTTGTTCCAAAGATGTAATAGTGTGTCCTGGAGATAGAAAATTTGTTCCAATAATTTCCTATTCTTTTAAGGGTAAATTACAGATAGGTACCCTGTACTTTGGGGGTAGATGGGTAGTGATAGATAGGTACCCTAAACTTTCAATTACAACACTTGAGTACCTGAACTCTCAAAAATACACTTAGGTCCATCCGTTAGTATTTTGTTAGTTAAACATTACATAATTTCAAAAATACCCTTCTCATGTATTTCTGATATCATTCTTAGGTAACCGAACATCTCCCCATTATGATGATCTCACATGGACAGAAAATAACATATTCAATTTTTTTGATGACAACATTCTCGGGTGATGATTTTACTCGACCTCAGAAATACATGAAAATGGTATTTTTGGAATTATGTAATGTTTAACTGATGGAATACTAATGGATGGACCTAAGTGTCTATTTTTGAGAGTCCAGGTACTCAAGTGTTGTAATTGAAAGTTCAGGGTAGCTATATGTCACTACCCCCAAAGTACAGGGCACATTACCCTTCTTTTATTTCATTCGAAGCCCCTGTAATTTGCCCACCACTGAGAACTTGAACTAATGAAAATTTGCAAGACTTTGTATTTATTGTTTAGTAGACCAAGGCCAAGAGCAGCCTCGTAGCTTAATGGCAAAAGCGCAGGCCCGCAATAGACCAAAAGCCAAAGGTAACATCTCTATTTTGATATTCCCCAAGAAAGAATCAGCCTTTTATCATTGCCAACATTCACTGTGTGGGGGTGTAACTTGGGCAGGGTGGATTGGGATTTTATCAAAATTTGAATGGCCATGACCTGAAGCCTGAGCTCGAAGCAGTGTAAAATATTATCTTGGGCCAACCCGAGTTGCACCGCTAGCTCTGTGAGATTGTGTTTCATATCTTTCTTTTTTGTTTGGGTAAATTGCTGAAACTTTTCCTAATGTCTGGCAATTGCAATCAGTTCTGAATTTTCTGATATAGTTGGGTGTGGACCCCCTTTATTAGATGATGCATGAAAATGTCCAAAATACTCGTACAATTATTTTTGATCAAATGTTAAGAGGATGTGATAGCAATTATCAAACTTTAGACAAAGTTTCAGCAATGGTTAAAAACTAAGGGGAGGTTTCAACAATTTACTTCTTTTGTTTTAGTTTCTTTGTTCATCATCACCTAAAACAAAGAAGCCCAAGATTGAGTTCACTGATATGTTCAAATAAAAAATCGTTGGACCTGTTAGGTCGGGTTTTTCATCATATCGAAGATTAGATTCCTCGTTTAATTGACCTGAAACATCTCCGATCTGTTGGGTAATTCATTGCTGAATCTCCAATATAAACGCCAACGTCTGTAGGTAGAGACTGCAATTTCCAACCATGTAATCGTGTTTTTTAGGATCAGGACCATCAGGCCCGATTATCCTTAGTTTATCAATCGAGATACGATCGGTTCTAACATTATGGAACCACCAAGGGGGTTTGGTTCCATTTCTGTTCTGGGTCTAATATTTTAATAATCTGTTTGTAACAGTTCTATCATGTTCCAAACCAGACCCGACCATTGACGGCTCTACGTCCAAACCATTCTATTTGGCAAATTCCCATGCAGCTTTTTCTGCCAGTGTCTTAGAAGTTGGATATCAAATTCCGTTTTACCCATGGTAGGCCAGTAACTACCGACCTGGTATGATGGCGGATATCGACAGCGTTACCAGTTATCACCGCCACCCGTTTCACCCACACTCATTTGCCGCTTTCAGCACATTAATCGTCCCTTTGATCACCGGATCCATAAGCTGTCTCTGCCTTTCACTCTATCCACAATGCAGGGAAGACGAGCTATTTGGTTTAAATTTCATCTTCATGAAACATTCATATCTCAAATGAGGGATGATAGAATAAATCAATGTTTTAAAAGTCTATTCAGAATCAGAATTGTTCTTCTGGTCATTGGTTTCTGGGTTGATGATTCGATCATTTGGTTTGGATGAATGATTTATTCTAACAAAAAAATTTAAAAGATTAAAAATAATTAAAATAAAAAAATGATAAAAAATCATTGAATGGATCGAATGGGTCAATGGCTTGACTGCCTAAATCAATGGATTATTGACAATTTAATGGTTTTTTGCCAGAGACCGGGTTTGAGATAAAACGAAACTGATTGCCTAGACAGTTCTCAGACCAAACAGCCCAACCATACGTACGGGCCAACGGCGATTTGAAAACATTGGAATAAATTCCATCATCTCACAATTTACTGATTGGTTTTATCATTTTATGACAAACTTAAATAGAAGGATAATATGGTAAATTTATAAAAACTGTTGATTTCCTGACAAGTTAGAAATGATTTCGGATGGAATTTGGATTTGCTCTTCATAGAGCGCACCACACACCAACCTTACACCACATCACAGACGTGCATTGATAACATCCTCCTGTACATGATATTATTATTCATGGGACGATGTTTTCAACACATGGCTATAATGCACCGTGAGGATGATGTTAGACATGCTCTGTGAAGAGCAGATCCAAACTCGTTCGGATGGTTTTCGCACCGTGCTAGAATATGCTACCCACCAGTTCTTCCCACATCCCTGCCATGTACATAATAGCTGCGCATCGGGAATTTCTCTCTTTTCATTTACAGGGAGATATTCCCAATACACGGCAACAGTGTTTCATGAATGTAATGTGAAACATTTTGTGCGCAGCAGATTCGGAGTCTCACACCTGCCATGCATCTGCGAAGATATTCCAAATGTACACTGAATATACATGTCGGAAGCCCCATCAATGTATATTGATCGAGCTCGGGTTTAAATTTCTGCCAAAATTTGAAGGGAGAAGTACCAATCAGCCCAGACTGGCTCAAAGTACAGGGAAAATGCACGGACAGGAATTGATGCCAAATTCACGGACAGGATGTGATTTATAGGGGGAGAGGACTAGTTGTAAGGAACTGGAATTCAGAATTCTGCATCGTGTATTTCCGTACTTTTCCCAAATTTGAATGACCTGACCCGAAAAGTGCAAAGTAAAAAACCCGCGAAGGGAGAAACTGAAGGAAAGTTTTAAATAATACCCTTGATCCGATATTTGACGTAGGCAATGATGGAAAATGTTTGATAGTGGGTCCCAACTTCCAATCTTCTCAAACGCTACTTCTGGATTTGGTCTCTTTGCTCGATAGAGGAGAGAGAGAGAGAGAGCGAACATCGAGCGAGAGTCCAAAATCCAGATCGCATTGACCTCAAAGAATGGAAGGGCTACCCCTTCAGTTCCCATGGGATTCACCTTCCTGATCCTGTCCATCTATGATTTGTCCCTCATTTAATGTATCTATCCACATCTTCTTCACAATCGTCAAAACACTGACCTGAACATTCTTGTGCTGTCGTCTTTGCTCGCTGATAACAGTTTCATCTATAAATCTCACAGCGTCGGTGGAAACCAAATTTCCAAAAGCAAAAGTGAGAGAGGAAAATTCGAGGTAAGTCTTGTTATTTTCAAGTTAGAAACTTAAGAGATTCATTGGGTTGCTTTCTATCTGCTGGGCTTCTTCTCAAGGGCAGTAATTTGCTCCTCGGTCTGCACTCATGCTCTCCATATGTCAAAAGAAGTGTTTATTTTCCCCTTCTTTTGTATTTCATTTTTTTTGGCTATTCTGAAGAAGAAAATGACATAAACTTTTAGGGTATGTCTGAAGAAGAAAATGACATAAGATTCAGATTGAATCCCATGGGTTTCATTATTTGAATCATGATAATATTGTAAATCATAAGATCTTAACAACTATGGCAGTGAATTTCCTTCTTAATCAAATTCGTCTTCTGTGGTTTGATCTCCTCCCTGAGGAGTTGCAGCGAAGATTAATTTTCATCAATGGGAACACAGCCTCATTGGCATAAAAGTAGTCTTGAGGGATGAGGAGGGAAAAGTGCTTTATGCTATCCCAGAACCAAGGGGTGATGGTGAAGTGGTGGTTCCAATGAGGCATATGGCTTGTATTCCTTTCTTTCTTGATTGGTTTTTGAAGGGGGTTCCGATAATGTTATAGGGTAGTTATCTAATGATAGGAACTCTAAATTTGTGACATTTTCACATTGGCAGTGCTGTCTTAACTATGATTTGCATTTTGAAACCTTGTTCAAGATGACTCCCCACTCAACAATGTCTTGACATATTTGTCAAAAAGTGTGTTTTGGGCTGATTTATATAGTGTTCAGATTTTTCCTTCTTTTTTTCTCACCTTGTTTTTTCTCTTTGTACTTCAAAAGAAGACTTCAGCTTGTTCTAAATGCACAAGATGAAAACAAAGGCTTGGAATTTATTGTGCTTCAAAAAATTTTATATCTTTCAGAACCTACATTAGAGAGATGTGCTTCAAGAGGATACCATTTAACAATTATCTAATACAGTAATGAATCTGTAAAAATGGGTTGTGATGTAAATTAGTTGCAGATGAAATAATAAAAACCAAATCAAGTAATTAAAAATTAACAAAACTAAAAAAACTATAAATTGCCAACGATGAGACAAACTATAAGTGCCTAACATGAAAAGTTATAATTTTTTTAAAGAGTGAAGAATGTGAAAAAGAGAAATGTAAATTTAATATTGATAAAAAAGTAAAATTAATATTAGGAATAAATGAAATAGAAATGAATAGGCCAAAAAAACAAAGGATCTTACTAGTGATGTTAGTTGTACAAAAACATCTCCAAACAAAACAACAGTGTATTCACTTGGAAAGATATACCAAGAAGAATCTAGTTTCTATCTTCTTAAACATAGCACAGAATAGCTGTCAATAAAAGAATATACCAAAGTATAGCTTCTCTCAAACTTCTGCAGTTAACATAGTCACATTAATTGCCTTGGGCAGGGAGAGGAGTCAAACATGCTAGAAATTTTATATGGTAGGTTGACGTAGCAAGTAGCAACTAGTAAAGAACTGAAAGTTTCTCATAGATCTCATAAATATAGGTGTATGAAATGAGTAGGTGATAAAAATACTTACTACTAGCTTGCATAAGAAGAACACATGAGGGTAGAGGGACCAATATGCCATTTACTATAAAAAAATATTTATTTTCAAGTCAATCAATTTCCAGAAAAGGCCCTAATTTTTAGATTTCAGGATGATTTTTGGAGTATTTAGTTGTTTTGCCTGAGTTGGGATCTCCTCCCAACAGAAATTGTCCCAACACACTTCCAACATGATCTGTGTCCACACATCTCACCAAAATGGACCCATCAAGTATGTGATGTGTGGATACAGATCATGTTGGAACAGTTTTTTTTTTTTATTGGGAGAAGATCTGGATTTCTGGATTTGTTTTGCTTTCTTTTCTTCCTGCCCCATTCAGAGACCGGATATGCTCCCAACAAAAAGCTGTTCCAACATGATCTGTGTCCACACAACTCACCTTGTGAGTGGGACCCACCATGTCTGAGATGTGTGGACACAAATCATGTTGGAACAGATTTTTGTTGGGAGCAGATCCCAACTTCCCCTATCGTGGTTTCACATTTCACCCCATCTCTTTGCAATTCTTTTTTTTTGTTTTCGTTTGCCTTATCGTTATTTCTTTATCATAAATTCTTGTTATAAATGAAAAGGTGTTGGTACCAATAAAAATGAAGAGCTTTTGGTTTACATCATATATATATATATATTTCTTTTGATATTCAATCCTTAATTAGATTCTTGTTAACTTAGATTATTTGACTTTATTTTACTAGTGTAGTGGGGATTTTTTTCATAATCTTCCTAAAGGATTAAAATCTAAGTGCAATTATTAATAGGATCTAGATTTCTTATTGCACACAAATTTCATTTCATCTTTAAAGGTTAAAGTGTTAAATTTCATTATTCTTGTTTAGTTGGTTGTGGAATGTGGGCTCATGGTTAAAGACTTTATAACTAGAATATCTTTCCAAGTGAATGCATTGTTGTTTTGTTTGGAGATGTTCTTGTACATCTAACATCACTAGTAAGATCCTTTGTTTTTTTAAAGCACAATAAATTCAAAGTCTTAGTTTTCATCGTGTGCATTTAGAACAAGCTGAAGTCTTCTTTTGAAGTACAATAAAGCATCTTCCCCTCTTGCATATTGTCAACACCCGATTTTTTCTTGGTCTGTCGCCTTAACCCCCTAATTCACCCTGAACGCCCGATTAGACCCTTCCAATCTCTCTGAAACACCTAAAAGCCCAAAAAACTCGAATTTCACCCTAAAAGCCCAAAAAACTCGAATTTCACCTTAAAAGCCCTTAGATCCACTGTTAAACCTACTTGATACCGATCAAATCACACCGATCAACCCCTATTTACACCTCAACCCTCATATTAGACACCACCATCAGACTCAAGACCTCTCAAAACACCTACCCATAAAGTTTCAACCCAAGATTCTCTCGTTTACCCCTCCATCAAACCAAGATTTTGTTCTAGAATCCTCTTGTTGACCCAAATTCCTATGATCTTGACCCCCTGAACTAATCAGACATTACCACCAGATCCCAGATACCCTAAATACCCACATGTAAAATTTCAGCCCAAAATACCTCTGTTTGCCCCTTCATCGCACCAAGATTCCATTTCGAAGCTCTAGATTGATTGAACCACAACCCTTCTAGATATACCCAATTGAAAGATAAGAATGGATAATATGATATAAGAACAATAATAGTAATGATAAGGAGAAGGGAGTGATAGCTAGGGGGAGATAACAGAACAGGTGGATTTACCTATCTGTAGATTGAAAGATAAGGAAAAGGATATCAGTTAGACAAAGTGAAACACTTAAAAAAAAGGAAAAGAAAAAAATAATAATAATAATAAATGATCACATATACATAAAGAAAAAATAAAAAAAACGTAAAAAATGAAAAATGAAAATCTATAATAACGGGCCTGACCAACAGATCTGGGTTTTTAGCTTGAGAGGTAGGATATATTTGCTGGAAGAATAAGCTATTAAAATGGAAACAATACTAATAAAAAAATGAAGTAAAAAGAAAAAATAAAAAGAAAGATAAAAGATTCAAAAAATAGAAAATAAAAAATGAAATGAAAAAATATAATTCCATAAAACAATTAAACGAATAGAGTTCCTTAAGAAATAACAAAAAATAATTAAAAATAAATAAAATAAAATTTTAATTAGGGTGTTTCTCTTGTGTTTTTTTATTACTTTATAGATTATCAATATGCTCTTAGTCAATTAATTGCGCCTATATGTTTGTGCCTGTTTGGGATGCCATGTGGACCCCACCTATCGGACCCTAGAGAGGGGTGCCTAACCCCCTTCCCTCTCCCATCCAAGTCTTAACTGGACTGGTTTAACTGGTGCCTCATGCTGTGGAGTCACTATTAAACCAAAATGAGTTTTGATGCGATACTCGGAGGTCCCATCACCTCCACTTCCTAATCTGATGATGGGTGGCGACTCCAAATCAGCCCAACTGAGCCATTTCCTAACGCTCACACATATCGACTTGTTCTGTGGAAAATATTGATAATTATGTCTTTCCTCTCTCATACTAATATTGTTTTGTGACCACTACTGCCCCCTTTACATTGTAAATGCTTCTACTGCATTTGGAATCTTGTTGTAATTAAAATATATATTTTTGAAATTCCTTGCATTTTGGATATGTTCTGTGTTATACTCTAATAAAAGAAAAATTATGCTTCTGGAAAGACATGATAGTGGAAGAGCTTTAACCAATCAAAACCCTCCTGTGAATTTTGATAAATACAACCTGATTGGTTACCACTTTTATGATACCAATTCATTGGTAACATGTTTTCCAGTATCATAGTCGAACCCTCTAATAACTATGTATTTTTCTCTCTCATAATAATCTCGTTTCTGATGAAAAAAAGAGATTTGATATTTATTTTTTCACTATTTGATTATTATATGGATTTTTTATTTCTCTTTCTGTTTTTCATATATGAATTTAGTTTGAAGAAATAATTATTAATATGTTAGTAATCCTTTTTCAGAAAATTGAATCAAGATGGCCTGTGAAGGGGAGAAAACTCTGATTGAGATACTGGAGGAGTCTACCCCTATTGATCTTACCAAATACATGAATTTTGTTCATAGCCCACAATCTGGTGCAATTGCAACCTTCTCTGGTACAACACGCGATACCTTTGAAGGGAAAACTGTAGTGGAGTTACGTTATGAAGCATATGTACCAATGGCGATGCGCCAAATCAAATCCATCTGCACATCTGCCAGGTCATTATGGCATCTTGACTCCATCGCTGTTTCTCACCGCTTGGGGCCGGTTGCTGTTGGAGAAACAAGTGTTTTCATTGCAATATCTGCTGTCCATCGGGCTGATGCCTTAGATGCATGTAAATATGTCATTGATGAGATCAAGGCATCGGTTCCAATATGGAAGAAGGAGGTGTATTCTAATGGGGAGGTTTGGAAGGAGAATTTGGAGTTTTTGGAAAGGAGATCAGAGTTTGGAACTGCAGAGGATGGTGGTGAAAGTTGTTCTGATAAACTTAAGGTGGATGCACAGAATATAAAGAGGTGTTGCAGAAGCAAAGTTAAGGTGAGCCACGAGGAAGGCCCTTTGCATGTTGTCATGGATGATGAATGTATTGATGGGAATAAATGATGAAGAATAGGCATTTTATTTAAACATTTTTATTGTTAATAGTATGTTTGCTCAAATTATCCATGAAAAAGCAGGTTATTCTCTGAAAAAACAAAATGTTGATGGTGTGCCTTCTGTGTGTGAGCTATTATTTCCCCCTTTTTCTTAATTTTGTATTTATTTGCTAGTTTATTGATTGAGAGCATTGTGAAATTTAGTCCACTTTTCTACATTTATTCGTGCCCTGTTAAAGCTCTAGCCACACTCACGCACACACACAGTTATTCGGCCCTGGACTTTGGAATCCTTGTTTTAGTTGGGGCTCATGCAAGGTGGGGTTCTTAAAGTTATTTATTTGTTCCGATTCTAGTCATCAGTTTAATGGCAATGTACCCTCTCTTCTTCTACAACTTTCCTTTTATTAAGCATTCTCAACAATAGGTGCCATTCACCGTAGATGTTGAGTTGGACTAGAGTGTGAAAATATTCAATTGGTTTTCCCCTTCTGACCATAATTTTTTTTTTTTTTTCAGTGAGAAGACAGTAATTTATTGCCCTCCTTCACCCCCCCACCCCCCACCCCAACAACAAAATGAAACAAACTTGGGCTTCTTCATAAATGATAGTATTCCCAAGTCTATGAAAACATCGGATTCTCAATGAGATGCACCACTACCATTTCTGGGGTTTCCTTCTGCACCTGCTCTTTTGATCTTTATGAAACTCAAACACCAGCTTCCATAAGATATCAGTGCTGCTTCTCTTGCTTTTTTAAAAAATAATAATAATATTTTGTAGCAATTTTTTTATTAATTACTAAACGTAATAAAATTCTGACAATTCAATGGAATATGGTTTCTAAAAGTTTTTTTCCTGTGCCTCTTGTTTGAGTTGATTTGTTTAATGAGAGGCATTGATTTATTTTGTGATTAATATTGTATACAAACAGAATATTAGTGTCATAGTTGAGCAATGCAAGAGGGGGTTTACTGGACTTCAAACAAAAGTTCCCCTGATTATTTTTATTGTCTTGTGATTTCTAGATCTATAAGGCCTTTTTTTGGCTGTAGATCTATAAGTATGCTTGTATAGCTGGCATTAGAGGTGATCGGATGCCTCAAGCCATTGAATTTCATATTTTTTTTGGCCCAAATATTAAGTTGCATAGAAGTGAGATGTAACTTGCCACACATTTATCTACACATATATTGGCTAACCTCTAAAAAGAGATTTCAGCATTATCTAAGCCGTATCCCAAGTTTATCAAGTATATGGAGTTGGCATGAATCTTCTTTTACCCCATTATGTTTAATGCCTCTAGAAGTATTTAATAAGAATCAAATAGTGAAAAACAGAAAGAAAAATAAGTGGGGAAGAGGAAGAGAAATAAAAAACAGAAAGAAAGTGGAAATCTGGGAATTGATTCTTCCCCACTTAATTTCCACTTCGTTTTGATTAATTCGCACATCATCACATGATACACATAACTGACAGTCTGTCAACGGCAGGTACTAGATTGGCACGTTTTGAAAGTTTGGGTATTGGATTGACATGTTTTAAAAGTTTGGGGACCAAAGTGACACTAGACCCAAAATACAAGGTATTAATATGGAATTTTCCCTTTATTTTATGTTTGCCTCTGCAACATTTATTTGCGTCCTTCTCAGACTATTCATTAGTGACATGGATGTGGTTCTCTGCAGACATGAAAGGCTAGTTGGCCTTACTGGGTCGCCCTGCTTGCTTTTCACACTTTCTTTTATTTAGATTACATATTGGAACAAATGTTTTAACTACATCCATTGATCATTGTTATGCTTAAAAACTTTTCATTTTAATGACACTTTATCAACAGGCTGACCATGCAGATAACAACCCGATTCATATGATATTGGTAACTGCAGCACCTATCTATCTGATTGGCCTGCTTTCTATGATGCAATGCAGAGTACTTTATAGTAGGAAACTAGTACGTTTTAGTCCTTTTTTAGGCTATATAGATATTCTTAGGTGCATTCAAAATTTCATATATTTGAAAGATTCATCTGCCTTCAGTTCTCTACAAGGAGACATTCTGTCATTGTTTTCCTTGCACGTTTTAGTTTCATATCTGTTCTTTTTCTTGTAGTGGTCAATCTATGCTTGATTGGCAGGAGCATTCAATCTTGAGTTTATGGACAGGCTAAGGTCAACTTTCAAGTAACAAGGTTTAGAAAAATTATCTGGAACAACTTTCTGGTAAATCCCCAATACTTTTTGAACTTCTCTGTGTGCTATGGGTGCGGTGTAAAACAGAGCTTCTCTTGGGAACATGTCAGAATAACTTTTAAGCTTAGGTTCGATTCACCGGGCTTAATTTATATCTAATTTACACTGCTATCAAACGCAGCCTAAGCAATACAAACTTTGTTCGATTCGACAAAAGCAATCAAATTTACAGATTTTAGACTGACCGGAACACTCAATCGTTCAAAGAACATCAACATTCAACACTTGTTTCATGTAAAAGCCAAAAGAGGAGTACAAGCAAGATACAGTTCAACCTATCGCTAAGACATTTTCATTTGTACTATAATTTATTCAACAAAGAGAAACAGGAAGCTCCACCTAGCCAGAGTTGCTAATAATCTGTTGGTAGTTGCTCATGTGTGTTTTCTCCAATGAAGAGGGTGTCATAGACGATGGCAGCAATGGCAGCCCCGATTAGCGGGCCAACCCAGTAGACCCAGTGGTGCGTCCACGTCCAGCTGACAACAGCAGGACCAAAAGAGACTGCAGGGTTCATCGAGGCACCATCAAAGGCTCCACCTGCTAAGATGTTGGCACCCACAATGAAACCAATTGCAATGGGTGCAATGATCCCTATGTTCCCTTTCTTTGGGTCTACAGCTGTGGCATAAACGGTATAGACCAGGCCGAAGGTCATCACAATCTCGAACACCAACGCATTCCATACGCTCACGTCAGTTGATAGGGAGAATGCAGATGTTGTCTGCAGTGGAGGATAGAAGAATAAGGATCAGCTAAAATCACCAAGCGAGCGAATTTGAATCAAATGTAAGAGCAAGTTGTGAATTTTAACAGCAATAACAGATGGGTTTGAAAGGAAGGTTAATGTAAGAGATGTCCTAAAGATAAATGATAATGCTATTTTTTTGACATCATCATCTGGTTTTCGACTCTCAACTCTAAATCAAGCTCAATCAAAGTGAAGAATCACATCTAGGGGGTTCAATCATAATCAATTTGGGTCTGTTTTTTTTTTTTAAGTCTTTTTAAGAAGATCTTCCAACAGTTTAGATGGTCAAAAAACATAATAAGCTTTTGGGGTCTTATCTTTAAAGATCTAGACCATTTGGTAAATATCCTAATCTACCATCTAGCGAATTCTGAATCATTTTTTAGGGTATAGGTTTTTCCAACTTCCCGTCTTTCGTTGCCAAATAAAGAAAGACCAAAATTAATAAATTGGGTGCAAGTCGGAGCTTCTTACCAATCCACCGGTGGCGAACTTAAGAAGCAAGCAGGCAACAATGGACCCAAGCAATTGTGCGATCCAATACAAAATGCCCCTCAACAATGTAATGTTTCCACCTATGAAGGCACCAAATGTTACAGCAGGATTAACGTGGCCCCCAGAGATATTGGCCCCAACAGAAACCGCAACGAAGAGGGCGAAGGCGTGAGCCAGTGATGCTGAAACCAGACCTGCTGGTGTGGAAGACCCGTTGCTGGTGAGCTTATCTGCCAAAATATAGGCCAGATACAAATACAAACCGTTATTAGCCAATAAATAAAACTTCAAATTCAATCAAGAGATAAGAAACTTTGTGATTTGGGTTGGGAGATGGTGGAGAGGAGGTGTTAAGTCTTACTGAAAGCCATGCCCGATCCCTCGCCAGCAAAGACGAAGATCAGAGTTGAGATAAACTCGGCGAGTGCTGCCTTGAGAGCATCGGGTTGGCTTGCCTCCCCAGGCGTTCCAATTGCAATTCTTGAGATCGGCATTTTCTTCCTTTGACTCTGAAACTTTTGCTTAATTTGCAGATTGCAAGTTTTTGCAACTGCAACTGCTGCTGCTTTGCTCGTTTCTTTGGTCTGTGAGCTTTAGTTTTACTTGGTAGTAAGCTATATATACACACACAATTAATAGATAACGGCTATTGAATCGGACCAGCCGGTTCATCTGTAGCAGACTTTTCTTCTTTTCTTTTTGCATATTTGCTAATCATAGTATCTATTATTAATTGGATTTAGATAAGAGATGACACATGTGTCCTCGGATTTTTTTTTCCAAGCTATATGTCAAATATATGTACAGCTAATGGTCGGGCCTCCGATTCTTCCTTCTTTCGCCACGTGGAAGAGTATTAGCAGAAATGGTCGACGGGCAAATCGGATCGCCGACCAAATGAGTTGGTGGACCCGGATTGGCTGACCGAGTCATTGGACTTATTGTTTTGTAAACCAACCGACCATTGAATAAAAATAGGATTGAAATATTATAGTGTGTGATGATAAGGACCATACAGCTTAGGTATGGTGGGTTGTGCCGACTCCCATGTCATTTTATAGATTGGGTTCTATCAACTTCAACTTCAACTTCAGTACCCACTACTAAATCATCTATTTCATTGATGTGTCGAAATTAAGCCATTGATGTATCAAAATGAAGCCATGGAAGGATCTAGATTTTACGGTGAAATCCTTTTCTTAGATTCTCAAATCCGCATGGACGACCAATTTAACAGGAAAAATGCCATTTTTAAAATTTAGGTTTTTATAAATTCTTTTATTTAATAAATTTGTATAATTGGGATTAATGATAAATGGAAGAATCTATTACAATTCAAAGGGGGTTAATACAAGTGGAATTTGGGATAATATATTCAGAAAACCAATAAAAATTTCTGAAGAGAGCAAATCACAAATTTCCCTTGATCCCGTTCTTTTGTTACTTATTTGGATATATACATCTATCCAAATAATAAGTGTTATATGGGTAAAGGAATTAGTTTCTTAAAAATCCCTAACTTAATTGTTTTGACATGAACATTTTAGTTTTACACAATAATAATAGTAATAGTAATCATGTTTTTAATTTCATAATCCATTCGTCTTTATTTTGTCTCGGAATTATTCTTCTTCTTTAATAAGTAGAAGGATTATTATGTATTCTGATCTTAATGCTCACTACCACCTAGCCAAGGTTTCATTTAGTAGAAGTTCTCGAGAGGTGAATACTGTTAGAACCTCTGGTTCATCTGGTTGAGCCGAAGTACTCACAGGAGAAGAACTCAGCTAGCTTCTTCCCTTGGTGTGAAATTCATGAAGCTGAATGACTTATATTTAGGCTGTTCGTTGAATCCCTTGAAGGTTGAAGCCCAAAAAGCAAGACTTTCAATTCATTTTTGAAATGCTTCAAAATAAAGCTCAAATGATAAAAATCTAATTGCCTCTCTGAAGCCGGAAGGTCAGTTTTAATTCATTCCACTCTACCAGCATTTACTTGCTTATTTTATGGCTTCTATATATTCTATTTCCAAATTTTTGGTTTTTTATTTTTAAAGAATAAACCCCTTGTGATGAAACTGGGCCGGTGTCATGAGAAGGAGAGATATTCTTTATGGGCTCCAATTCCAAGAAAGAAATACATCAAAACTCAAAAGGGAAGATACATTATGGGCTGCAAGTGCCAGACTTAGTGACTTACCACTTGTTTTTCTGCCACCTGATCTAGCATTTCGAGTGTAAGGAGAGAGAGAGAGAGATTATTGAAAGGGTGTACTGGCAGATTGGTAACGGTTGGAATATCAAGATCGTTTCCCATCCTTTGGGTTCCTACTAGTACAGAATGAAGACCAATTTCAAATATGAAACTAGGGCCTTCATGAAAATGTATAAGAGAAAACTCTTTTCCCAAAACTAAGATTTTTTAAAAGCCACCTTACTCTTTTAACACCAATATGACAAGAGGATTCTTATTTCAAACCAAACTCTCTTATAGAAGAAATCGGACTTAGTCCTCATAAGACTACAGAGTACAGAATATCTTCCCATGAAAAAAACATACAACTACAGAGATATTTTCAAAATGGTTCTTTGAGGATCCAATTCCTTGCAGAAGGACTGTTCCTTGTATCACAAGAAAATAAAGGAAATCAAAACTAGAAACTACCTACCTACAGGGAAACCCAGATGACTTCTTGGGTTCAAGGCACAAAATCCTAACAGGATGTAGTAGTATTGCGTAGTTGTTGGTTCAAGCACTTGCACGGTTGAAGTCATGTGCACAAGAATTTTGTTTAATTGATTGTGATTTGTGAGTGAGAGGCGGCATCGATATAGTGTAATTGCATCAATATTGAACCATATGCATGTGTAACTTGGGTGGATGGGTTTGGGTTTAAGGCCAACCCAGGCCCAAAAGTAAGACCAGACCTGGAACTTGATCCTGGGATTGGGCTTGGTTGTGTTTTAAGGTTTTTCTCGCTCGTATGCATATATGTACATGTTTGTGCAATATTATAGACGGGATGGCTCTCAAAGACATATTACAATGTACCATGAGAGTATGGATAATTAATAATATAAATATAATAAGACATATACACATTGCATAAATACATAATACATGGGATAAACATATTGCTTATTCAAGGTCAGATATTTCGAGTTTGGTTGGGCCAACTCAGACCACCCAAAACTCCAAACTATGTTGAGGTGGTCCAAACCCAGCCCAGAACCTGAAAATCCAGGTCTAACCCGTTCAAAATATTGAATTATTGGGTCCATCCAAGCTGCAACCCTAAATTACATGGGGTGATGCTATTATTTTTAACTCTCTAATAACATCCAGCTTACTAGCTCAGCCTCAGCCTGTGTATTTTCAGTAAAGCCCATCTTATGCAAATGCCTTTCTTTACGCAAGTTCTCTTAGCAACAGCAGTGGGTTACCACCACTAATGAGTGGTAAGAGATAAACGTCATACACGTCAAGTATAAATGAATAATAATAACTATTACAAGGGCTCCTGCCATACACTTTGAGTAAAAACAAAAGGACATTTAAATTTTGAAGGATATCTTTATTGTATTTTTTAAAATGTTTTAACTCATTTATTAGATTTAAAAATTAGAATATTTGGAAATATAACAACTATTTATAAGCATTAATATTATATGATATTCTGATTTCATTTTTATGGCACGTGAAGCCAAAGCAAGCATCCGCATTATAAGGTAAAAGATATTGAGGCCCCCGTTTGGTTCACAGGAATAGGGGTTTGGAATTAGAATCAGTATAGGTTATTCTGATTCCAATTATTTGGTTGGACAGAATTCCAATCTTGTTTTCATTATTGGTGGAATGATATTCTCCTATTTAAGGGAATGGACATTCCCTTCCCCTCTCTTAACAATGAAATCTCATTCTTACAGATTCCAATTCCTATTCTAATTCCAACTGCAAATCAAATGGACACTAAATATAATTATCATCTATCATACACTGTTGGAGTTGAGATAACTACAGTGCCGTTTGGCAAGTTTTTTTTAAAAGATCTTTCTGCAGACTTTACAATCAAAAGACGATGTAAACTTTTGTATTAAGATCTTAACAGCCAGTTTAAAGTTCTATTTGGAGCTTTCCAAAAACAGCTCCAAACGAACTCTTTTCAATACTATATCTTTTGACAGTTAGATATTTTTCTAACCAAATGAAAAAAGACTAAAAAATGGACTACCGGACTTCTAAACAGCAAACAGCCCATATAGAAAAACACACCAAATAAAACCTACATTAACCCTCTACAAGTCTAAGGGAAATGACGGGCTTTTAGTTCAACACTTAATTAACAGTCCAACCTGTCAACATATAGAGCTTATTAGTCTAGCACAGGAATTGACTGGACTTTGGAGATGTTGCAACCTAATTAATGGTTCTTCCAAGTTCCAACTCCAAGAATAACATTTATACACCATTGCATTGCATTCTCTACTCGTGGTCGTGGTTCTTGTTCTTGTGGAATGTTCAAGCTTTTAGTTTTGCGAGGTTTAGTTAACTACTTAAACAACATCATTGGTGACACATAAGTAAGGTCCCATCAACACTCAACCGTAGATATAAAGCTGATGTAAACTAGAGAAATGAACACATGGCCAATGTGTATAAGACCTCTTACAGTGTTACCCTTATCTAAGTCATAGCTGCCGGGACCACACCACACAAATATTAATTCTCTGTTGCAACGTGTTGGGTTACCATATAGTCGTAAACCAGTCTGATACATACTAATTAATGGTTTGATTAATTCTTAATTAAGCAAAGCAAAGCTCAGCTCTGAAGGTCTTGCAATTGGAAGAATAAGAAAGAAGGCGATTAATGACCATGCGTCCCGTCTAGATCATTTATTATTGCATCTGGGTTGCCAACTTGTCAAGGGAATTAGGGAATCAACCACCTGCTCACATTTGGAGGGAAAAAATAATATAAATGCCTTAATATCTATTTCTCTTTCTTTTATGCTTTTTTCTTATATAAAAAGTACCACGTGGCAATAGATAGTCAATACAGGTATACCCAAGAGAAGAGAAGAAAGCTTGGAAAACGAGGAATCATCATCGTTCATTTTAAAAATGCATGTCCCATCCCATCCCATGTTTAAGTAAATTTTCCAAGTTCCAAGTTGGGACGAGGAATGCAATTTTCACTCAAAAACAGAAAATTTGGGTCTTTTTTACATGGAGGAATGTTTAGTAAATAACGATTTAATGCAATTTTTATTTGGTTTTCTCCTCCCCAAGAGACAATCTGGGCCCCCATTGTATACTCGTCGTTAATTATTAGCATTCTTTGTTTATGATGAATATTATTTTAATAAATTATTATACATCTAGCTGATGTTCGATTAGAGGTATTCTGAATCGAGGATACAATCAAATAATTTTGTCAATTGGACAAGGTTGAGGTGAAATGATGAAATCGTGTACTAAGATCTACAATCAAGAGAAAGGTTAGAGGACCGAGTATTTCCTGACGCTCAAGTCAGTTGGGTAAAGAAAGAAGAGGTCGGGCCAAGCAAATCGAAAAAATGTATTCACCGAACCAAAGAGAT